TTTACTGTCATCATGACAAAGAAAAATAAATCAATTATTAGAATTGAGTTATTAAAACTATGATGTTTAGAGATGTGTTGAAAAAATCTCTCCGTTAAACAGAAATTGGGGAGAAAAAAATGTATATATATATATATATATATATATATATATATATATATATATATATATATATACATTAACCATAACCCTACATTTCCCCCATCACTTAATGATAAGGCATTTAATATTTGTCAGAGAGCAAGAATCTTCACTGTCAGTGATATTTAATAATTTTCCCAGATTTTCGCAATTAATAGAAAACTGTTCTCTTCCTAGCACCCATTTCTTTAGATACCCCCAACTTAGAAACTATGTCCAGATTTTACCAACCTTCCACCAAAATCTCAACTTGACCAAATTTTTGAAGTACCCTTAGATAAAAAGGTATACTATCTATTTTATACAGGTTGAGCTCCTCTTTCACTCCTACCTCTCTTTCTTTTATTAAACAACAGTGGGAGTAGGAACCTTAATCTTACATTTGAGGAGATGTGGGACTGGATTTTGTCCCATGTTCATATCTCCTCTATTTGTGCATGACATTATCTTTAAGTGAAGTTGGCAAAAATAACTCAAGACATGGATCCTATGTGTGATTGCTGTAATCAAGCACCTGCAGACTTAATGCATATGTTTTGGCTTTGTCCATCAATCACTTCTCTTTGCCTATCAATTTTCAAGTGTTTCTCTTCTGTGACAAAGATGCACATCTAACCGTTATTGCACTTTTCGGACTTTCTCAGAATATAGCAGGGTTATCCAGCTGTACTGCAAACGTCCTTGCAGTTTTTACACTGTTAGCAAGATGGTGTATTCTTTTATTATGGAAACAAAGATTTCCAACAAGCTGTGACAGCTGGTTGCAAGATGAGATTCATACATTTGGAAAAAAACAGGTTTAAAATAAACGTCAATACTAGGGCTTTTTCTGAAACATGGGACCCATTTATAATTTTCTTTTCTGAGCATGTCAGTATCTCTACAAACTGTCAATCTAAATCTTAGGACCTTTCAAATGCAAAGCAAATGTAATTAAGCACTTTGTATAACCCCTGAGGATTAATGTTTGTAATATTTAGTTATCAAGGTATGTGTGTATTCTGTACAGTTTTTCATTTTTGAATACATTGAAAACATTTTTTAATTTGTTTTATTTTTTATTTAATTCAAATGTTCATTTATTATTATTAATTCATTAATTTTCTTTTCGGCTCAGTCCCTTTATTAATCCGGGGTCGCCACAGTGGAATCAACCGCCAACTTATCCAGCACATGTTTTCCTTCCAGCCGCAACCCATCACTGGGAAACCCATTCACACTTATGCACACACACATATACACTATGGACAATTTAGCTTACCCAATTCACCTGTATCGCATATCTTTGGAATGTGAGGGAAATCGGAGCACCCGGAGGAAACCCACACAAACGCAGGGAGAACATGCAAACTCCACACAGAAATGCCAACCGACCCAGCCGAGGCTCGAACCAGCGAACTTTTTGCTGTGAGGTGACAGCACTACCTACTGCGCCATGCATTGCCCTTTATTATTATTATTATTATTATTATTATTATTTCTTATTTTCTCTCTTAGATAAATGTAATTTCTTCTTGTTTAGAGGGTAGAGGTGGGAAAAATATTTGTTTAAAGTTCTCTGTAAAATGACTTTGTTATATCTGTAAAAGTTTAATAAACAGATAAAAAAAAGTAATTGCTCGTTACACTCAAAAAAATGAATTTTGGCTTTTGTTGGTCCAAAGAATATAACTATGTTTAAATTAAACAATTTGCTTATGTTTGTGTACTAAAAATAAAAGTGTTATGTTGGAAAAAATTAGAAAAAGTAAGTTTTCACATTTAAACAGCTTGCTTAATTAACATGAATGAAAGGGAGTTGTGTTGCTTCTGCAGTACTGCATTTTGGTCAATAGGTAGAGTAATATCTGCACATGCGCAGTTTCAAAACAACACAGGAAGTAAGAAGATTCAAACCACAACGATCACTCTCAGCTCATTTAGATCGGCGCCATAATATGGGAATCAAAAGATGAAGATTACAGTACAAATTGAGAACGTGCACAGAAAGCTTTCCTTAATGTGGACGCAGGTGAGATTTTTTTACTTTGTATGTATTCATACTGAGGCTGTGACAACATTTGAATCACTAATGAACTTCCTTGTAATACTATGTTGTGTTTGTGTGTAGTATTGTTATGAAATTGTCATGTTTCCTGTGTCTTTTTCACATTAAAGGCAGATTAATTTCTAGTTTTTTTGCATTCCTGTGAAATTTTATACTTGGTATATATTAACCCCAAAATAAAGTTGCAAACGTTGGTAGTAAGAAATAGTCTAATTTTAAATGAGTGTCAAGCAGTTTGTCAAGTTTTAATGCCAGTTTTGATAACTTACATAATATTAATTAAAAGGTGGTGTTGGCACAAGCATATGTGACGCTTAAATAGGATGACATCTAGCATGATGACATATTTAATGTAAGCTTATTTGTTTGGTCATCTAACACATTTAAACTTTTAAGTTTAGTAGTTTGCAGTTTTTTTTTTCATTTTTATTATTATAAATATATTATTCTAAATGCTATATATTTATATTATTATATTTTATTATTACAAATCTTTGCTCACTCGCATCTTTTTTCTCCCTCAGGTTTACAGCTCAGCCTCTGTCCCATATCTGGCTGAGGAGACTGTGGATAATCCAGGTACTATGCCTTTAGATGCCTAGACACACATTAAAATGATGTACAGTAAAAATTACTAGTAATTTTAACTACTAATTATTTAGTAAATTACTAATTGTCATTTCATGTCGTTTAGAACATCACCAGTGCAAAAAAAGGTGTGAATGCATCCTCAAAGCCCTTGTGAGGGAGTACACGGTAAGCCATTTACTTTTTTACTTTTTTTTACATTTTGCATTTTCCTCTTAAACTATTTCCTCCTTTCACCTTTGATCTGTTGGTAAACTTTTTATTTTTTTACTTGACATTTTTAGGATGCTGGACATGATGAAGCACAAACCTTGATGTGCAACACCACCTTATGAATCTACATTAACATTTACATTAACATTTAGCAGACTCTTTTGTCTAAAGTGACTTACAATTGAGGAGACATTCAGCAAATCAACAAGAAGAGGCAATACACCCAAGATGTGCTAATTATACAAAAAAATTGTTAAGAATGCTTCTACATGTGGTTTGTCAAGCCCACTCACCTGTGTGAAGCAGACTTCATGCACAATGTTTTTTTGTGTGTGTGTTTGTTTTTTTAAATATAGGGAGTGGTTGTAAGAAAGTGTCTGGTGCAAATGTGCAGAAATGGTGCCCAGAGAGATGAATGTGTGTAGCTATTGCATGTTCTGTGATGGTTGGTCTAATTTATGGTGTAATGCTGATTGTGTTACATTGCTTTAAAGTGGTAATCTTTCTTTGAACAACTGAAGTGTTATCTGCTTTTTCAGTGTAAAGAAGGTACAGCATAGTTTACATAAGAAGACTTAATTTTTCTAAGTATATTTTTGTAACTCATTTAATGGCAGAATATTATTTTTAAATGTTTTTTGTAATATATGAAAAGTAATTTGAAAAGTGTATTTTATGATGTTTTTGTAAGCTTATTTTTGTAAATCATTTATTGTTTTTAATTTACTTCATACTTGTATTAATAATAATTTATTGGTATATTGTACATACAGTATTTAACTTATTGTAATAAGTGAAGATACAGATAAAGACAATATTTGGATTGTGATAATCATTTTATTGCTGGAAAATTTGTAAAACTGTAAAAATGCTATTGAATAAACTCAATGAAACAGAAACTGTTTTTTTATTTGGTTAAACATAACAATATCAATTTTAGAATAATTGAACTTAAATAACTACATTGATTAAAGCTAAATTATGAATGTTACATTGATTGAACTAAACAACATTACATTACCTTTATGTAACTAACTTAAGTTCACTAAAATAAATATTCTTTCTTAAAGGTAACTTAACTCGGTTACGTGGAACGAGTGGACAAAAAAAAGTTAATTAACGCCAACATGTCATTTTTTTGAGTGTAGTTTGCAGTTTTCACCCATCCCATTTGTAATTATGCTTTTCTGTACTTTTTTCTGGTCTTCTAAGAAGCAGCAATATTGCATTAAATATTTATCATTTATCATTAGAAAACAAATTGCAGTTGTGCTACGCAACAAAATAATCACAAGATTACATTTTTGGTCAAATTATGCAACTGCAATAAGCAGGAGAAATGCATACAGGGAAATTCCAATTTGCACTGTACAGTAGCTCTTGACATGCCACTGAGAGGGATTTCTTTGGAAAGTAAAGAGGTAACCTTATGTCATTTCACTGTTCCAGGAAATGATACCTTACACATTACATTACAGGGTGTGACACATGCGAACACATATCTTCATGCCTTGTCTTGCACCACTGCTTGGTTAGATTTGACTGTGTTACACAAACAATGCTACACAATTTTACCATGTCCAGTTCAGAGGACCCCCAATTATTATCCAAATGTCTAATCCTCCACAACCCCCAGGAGAAAAAAGCAGAGTTTCATGTTACTGATGTGAACCAAGCGTATTCTCTGCGTATATTGTGCACACTACACACACTCTAAAACGGTTATTACATTCATTTAACTATTTGACTCTTCTCTTTCACCTTAAAACAATGTGAAAATTATTAAATATGATGTGTCAATGTCATTAATCAAGAAATGCACAACACTTGTCACAGATCTGTGCCGAAAATGAAATATTTGCAAGCTAGTACAATGACTTCACAGTTACAAACCATTAGACAGCTGTCTGAACCAATATTGTATTGCAAATATGCTGTGACTGTGTTTTAGAAAGTGTGAAGCTTTCCCAGGTTTGCATAAAGGAGGGAATAATAAGTCTAGTGTACTCACAGAAAAGCCATTCATTATATTTGGCCAGTGTCCACTTTCTTGCCTCCATCTGCAAGCACACAGATGAAAAACAAAGATTATTCAAGATAAGGCATTAAACATATTCCACATGAAAACAAATCACATCTTTATACAAATACAGCACTTTATACATTTTCCCATCACTGTTCTTAAGCCAAACAGCTTTGCAAACCATAAATCCAGTTTATTTGTATGAGGAATGCTTTGGACGATATACTGTTTCAAAAATGGTGGTAAATAAATGTGAATAAGTTAAAGACAGCTGCTTTAAAAACAAAGTTCATACAACAGAAGTTTCTTGAGAATTTGTATGGTTTTTAATGCAATGGCTCCCTCTGCTGGTCAAACCAGCTTCACTGATACTCAAGAACGTCATTCAAAATGTGACCGGACTACAAAACCTACAGAAGTCCTAAGAGGCCATGCACTAAAATTTAGAAACAAATCTATATTTTACAAAAGCTGGTGGGAGAAAGGAATGTGGTCAGTCATGCAGATGTTAGATAATACCGGAGTAATATATTTTGAAACATTTAATTCTAAATGTAATTTATCTGACAGAAAATAATATGATTAAATCATCAAAGCTATCCCACAAACTATATTTCAGATGTCTTGTAATCTATCTCAAAATAATATAACACCTTGTCTTGTTCAGCTTTTTGTGAATGGAGTTTCAATTATTGATATAAACTTATCCAATACTGTAATCCGGAATATTTTTTTATTAAAGAACTATATCACTTTAATTTAAATAAAAATTTATTATTTTATTCTTTCTCTAAGGAAAAAAATAGCTAGAACAAGATATTTAAAATTTCCAGTGGCACTAAAAGTAAAGGAAGTCCATTTTAAAATTCTAAACGGAATCTATCCTTTTAAAGAATTTTTGAGATGTCGATTTGGTTTAGATGAAAACAATTGTTCCTTTTGTGGTGATCAAATTGATACTACAGAGCATCTTTTCTGTGATTGTAAATTTGCTTGTGCCTTTTGGGAAGATTTGCATTACAGGTTATTTTCTAAGTTTGACGATTTACATGCTTTAACAAAAGAAAATGTACTATTTGGGTTATTTTTGAAAGATGAAACACTTGATTTAGCAGTTAACTTAGCATTGTGCAGTATACCATTTTCAACGATTGGTTGACTCAAATAAACCCCTGCCATTTGTCTGTTATTTTCTTAGTGTTCATAACTTCCATCCATACTCCAAGTATTGACCACCTTCTTAATCATTTTTTTTTTTTGTTCTGATCTCAAGCTTAGGCAAATAACTGAGAATGCACCAATCAGAGGCTGCATATGATGTTGTCATGTAGACTTCTAACAAAGTATGTTACAGTATTGTAAAATACAAAAATATAAGACACTAAAGTATTTTGATACACAGTATTAACCCATTTTTTAAATAAACCCCATCAAATACAATTTTCAGATTACTATTTTGTATTTAAAATATGTATTTAAAATACTTGTATCATAAATACTGCTCATCCCTGTCACCAGGTGCACATTAACAATAACAGGGAAGTAAAAAATCTGCCATCATTTACTCAACCTCCGCTTGTTTCAAACCTGTTTCTTTCTTCTGTTAAACATAAAGATATATGTACTGAAGAATATTGATAAAAAAACACCTTTTGACTTCCATAGTATTTGTTGCTTACTATGAATGTCAATGGCTGCTTTTTCCAGCATTCTTCTGAATATTGTGTTTTGTGATCAACAACAACAACAACAAAAAAGAAATTCAAAAAGATTTAGAACTACTTGTGTGTAACATGTGCAAAAAATGGTGAGAACATTTTCATTTTTCAGGTGAACTGTTCCTTAGTGTTTTACACTATAATGCAGAATGTAAGTCATGAAATAAGCCTTAAAATTCACTCCTTTATTCCTTTCAGGATAACTTCAAATAAGACTAAATGACCTTAAAATAAAAATGTAGATTGTTCTGTAATTGTGACCTCCTTCATATGCAAAGAAAACAAAACATGGACAAAAGAGCCAGTACTGTTTAACCAGCATGTATTTTTTCTTAGAACAAACATTGGGTCAGACAGAGATGGTCTGTTTGTTGAATTTAAGTTACATTGCATCTATAGGCACAGTAATTCTCATTAGATTTTAAGTATACTTTTAAATTGGGGTTAGGGTTAGTGTAAGTTGACATGTACTTGCTAAAGTTTTTATAATCAGTTAAATGTTTGTTAAAGGAGCGGTATCAACAAATATTAAGCAGACAGTATACTAATACTCAAATGGACCATCAAAATAAAGTGTTACCAGATATTGTGATTTTCTCTACTAACTGTAATTGTGATTAAACACTAAATGTACAATATCTGAGACACACCAAGGCCCAGACTTGGACATGTAACTCAGTATTACAGAAACTGTAATAGTTACCTTTCGCCATCCAGTTTTCCAGATCTTCCATTTCCAACTCCATCACTGATGGGATGTCGTCCTCAAACATTGGCCTGTAAACAATAAAAGAATAACATGGTCATATTCATATTTATATTCAAACTATTATGCTTATTATTTAATTTATGGAAACACATTTCAAGCACAACACAAAAAACTGCATTAGATATTAAGAAACAAACAGAAAGAATTAAATCCAATGATCAATACATTTTGTGTAATTATGCAAAGCAGAAGTGAAGTGAAGAACTGAATTTGTTGGTAGTCTATGCTGAGATGGAAGTTGGTTTTGTCTCCTGTTAGCAGATTTTTATCTTCAAAGAGGAACCAGCAACTATGAGCAACTTTTGTGGAACATTTTAACACTTTACAAATGCCCAGTTCGTGAGCAGTCTAAATTGCCAAAGCTCAACAGCCATTAAATATTGTAAAAATGATCTGGGCATCTGTGGGTGTTTGCTGTGGTCAATTAAACATGACTTTTTTATACACGGTTCATACAGTCCATCCAGAAAGTATTCACAGCACTTCACTTTTTCCACATTTTTTATAGCCTTATTCCAAAATGAATCCAATTTATTTCCTCAAAATTCTACACACAATACCACATAATGACAATGTAAAACAAGATTTTAAAAAATTGTTGCAAATTTATTAAACATAAAAAACCTGAAAAATCACCTGTACGTAAGTATTCACACCCTTTGCTCAATGCCTCAAGTCTTTTTGAATATGATGCCACAAGCTTGGTACACCTATCTTTGGGACTTTTTGCTCATTCCTCTTTGCAGTACCTTTCAAGCTCTATCAGGATGGATGGGAAGCGACAGTGTACAGCCATTTCAGATCTCTCCAGAGATGTTCAATAGGATTTAGATCTGGGCTCTGGCTGGGCCACTCAAGGACATTCGCAGAGTTGTTGTAAAGCCACTCCATTGATATTTTGGCAGTGTGATTTGGCTCAATGTCCTGCTGGAAGATGTCACCCCACTCTGAGGTCAAGAGCACTCTGAAGGAAGTTTTCATTTAGGATGTCTCTGTACATTGTTGCATTCATCTTTCTCTCTATCCTGACTAGTCTTGCAGTTACTGCTGCTGTAAAACATCCCCACTGCATGATGCTGCCACCACCATGCTTCACTGTAGGGATGGTATTAGCCTAGTGATGAGTGGTGCCTGGTTATCTCCAAACATAACCCCTGGCATTCACTCCAAAGAGTTAGTCTCATAAGACCAGAGAATTTTGTTTGTCAGGTGCCATTTGGCAAATTCCAGGCGAGGAGAGGTTTCCGTCTGGCCACTCTACCATACAGGCCTGATTAACAGAGTGACCATCGGGTTATTTATTGAACACCTCCTTGATTAAGGCCCTTCTCCCACGATCACTCAGCTTAGATGGCCGGCCAGCTCTAGGAAGCGTCCTGGTGGTTCTAAACATTTTCCACTTACAGATGATGGAGGCCACTGTGCTCATTGGAACGTTCAGAGCAGCAGAAATTTTTCTGTAACCTTCGCCAGCCTTGTGCCTTGAGACAATTCTGTCTTGGAGGTCTAGAGACAATTGCTTTGTCTTCATGCTTGGTTTGTGCTTGGACATGCACTGTCAACCCTGGGATCTTATATAGACAGGTGTATACCTTTTCAAATCATGTCCAATCAACTGAATTTACCACAGGTCAACTCAAAATAAGCTGCTGAAACATCTCAAGAATGATCAGTGGAAACAAAATGTACCTGAGCTCAATTTAGAACTTTATGGCAAAGGCTGTGAATACTTATGTACAAGTGATCTTTCAGGTTTTTTATTTTTAAATAAATTTGCAACAATTTCAAAAAATATTTTTTTCACATTGTCATTATGGGGTATTGTGTGTAGAATTTTGAGGAAATAAATTAATTTAATCCATTTTGGAATAAGGCTGTTACATAAAAGAAATGTGGAAAAAGTAAAGCACTATGAATACTTTTGGGATTTACACAATAAAACACTACATATAACCACATCAATTATTAATTTTTATATCACAAGCTAAACATTATTAGGATTACAAATGTAAAATGCTGAAAAACTAAATTAAGCTGTGTGTGTGCTTTTAATACTTCAATTATACGTTTAGATTTTAAATTTTCAAGGTTGATAACATTCAATAAAGGGAGTATTCTCGGTTAACTGTTAAAGTGGACACAGGATAAAAACACTGATTATACTTAGAAAGTAGTAACAGAACATGCTTGTAAAAACATGCTTGTACATACATTGGGACCTTTTCATGGTCTTCATCATCCAAATAAGCATCTTCTTTTGTGTCTTTTGAAAAAAAGAAGAAGTTGTTAAACCCATCAATACACAGTCATTTCCTTGACTAGCCTTATATTAATTTAGAAGAAAAGGCAACACAACACGACACATAACATAACATAACATAACATAACATAATATAACATAACATAACATAACATAACATAACATAACATAACATAACATAAAAAATGTTATATATATATGTATATATATATATATATATATATATATATATATATATATATATATATAATATTCAGTTAGAGAAACTGAAAACAATTTCAAATGAATAAAACAAAGAACTTTACTATAAAGATGTTTATTTGTAGGGCCATGAATTGTGTCTAAAAACATGAAATGCTAGCACCCAGTAATGTTTTTTTTATTCCTCCTGATCTGCATGAATGGGCAGTTGCAGCAACGTGGTCTATAAATTTCAGCTGTTTATCAAGTACCACCAGGTTTCTAACTGTCCTTGAAGGTGTTTGTGTTGAGGTGGCCAGCTGTATAGGCAACATTTTTGCAGGTTTTTCCAACAGATCCATTTTTCCAACTTGTTTCCACATTTTTGCCAGATTTCAAGAATCTGTAATTTTTTCATGTTAAAAATGTTGCCAAACTTTGATATATGGTATCAATAGCTAATGCAAAAAAGTTTGTTCAGGCTTTCATGACCTCTTGGTTAGACTAATAATAACTGAGTATAATAACAATAATCATTACTAATAAATTACTTGTAATCGTTAATAGGCGGTTGCCCTGTATGCCTAATTAACAAATTCAGCTAGTTCAAAATACAGCTGCTAGAGTGCTTTCTAGAACTAAGAAATACTACCATTTTACTCCAGTTATTTTATAATTGCATTGGCTCTCTATCAAATATTGTATAAATTAAAAACATTTACTGACTGCCTACAAAGCCCTGAACGGCTTAGCTTCACAGTATTTGAGGGAGCTCCTGGTGTATCACAGCCCTTCACGTTCTTAATTATTCCCAAAATATCAAGATTAAGACAATAGATCTTTCTCATATCTTGCACCTAAACTCTGGAACAGCCTTCCTAGCACAGTTTGGGAGGCAGACACACTCTGTCAGTTTAAAACTAGATTAAAGAGACATCTCTTTGCATTAGCATACACATAAAACACAAATGATTTTGAAAGCATATTGTTAGGCTGCATTAATTAAGGCAACCGGAGCCGGAAACACTCCCCAAGAGACATTATAATTTGATGACATCCAAGCTTGTAAGTTTATCCTTATCCAGAGGTCTCCATGAACCTGGACCAGGCCGTATCCTGAACAGATGCTGTGATGGTCATGGAGGAGTGGAGAACATGAGACTGCTTTCTGAAAAACCCCAGTGACAGACGAGTCTCTGCATTGATCCAATGGGACAGCCTGAACACCTGCCGATGACCTAATCAGACCTGCAACTTCTCTACGACCAGTGTCAGCCTCTGGCGCAGACTGCAGCTCTGCACAAGAAGTCTGGCCAGAGGAGAAAGAGTTTTACCCAACTGAGCCTGTTCGTTCTTAAGGATTTTGTTTCTACATCTTTGTCAATTGGTGAAATTTCCTCCTTGCCACTGTCGCCACTGGCTTGCTTGGTTTGGGGCTTGTGGAACTGCGCATCAATGGATTTGCTTTTTAGTGTTTGGACTTCCAGCAGCTGAAATGAACTAAACTGAACTAAAAAACTGGACTGAAGCAGAGCCATAGAAATAAAGATAAATTGAATTGAGTTGCATATGGTGAAGTGGTTAATTATTGGGCTGGTCGGGATTGCAAGCAGTTAAGTTTATAAAAGACTGAGTTGTGGGTGATGGTCAATTATCCAGCAGGAAATACCTGTCAGACCTGCTGATATCAGCAATATCAGCAATTGTCAGATTGTCTGGTTTGAATGAGAGGTAGAATTTGGTGTTGTCAGCATAGCAGAATTAGGAAAAAAAAATGTTTCTGAATGAAGACTCAATTGATGTGATGTAAATGGAGAACAGAAGAAGTCCAAGAACAGTGCATTGAGACACCCTAGTAGCAATAAGGTGTGGCTCAGGTACTTCACCCCTCCAAGAGACCATGAAAAACCTACTTGGGAGGTAAAAACTAGACTAACTGAGTGCGGTTTCTGAGATGTCCATTGTCTTAAGTGTTGCCAAGAGAATTTGGTGGTTCACAGTTTCAAAGCAGCAGACAAAACCAGCAAGATGAGCACAGCTGTTTTGAGGTTTTACAACTGAGAGATGAGTAGCCACTGTGGAAGGCCTGCTTTTAAAACTAAACTGGTCAGTGTGATTGTTCTGGTTGAGAAAGACAGAGACTTGGTTAAAAAACAATATTTTTTAATTTTTTTGAAATAAATGGAAAGAGCTATTAAGTCTGTAATTGCCTATTTTAGCTGGGTTTTGGAGTTATCTGAGCCTGTTTGAATGCAACAGAAAATGCACCAGAGTGAAGGAATGTGTTAATAGTGTAAGCCCAGATACCACTGAAGCTTGGTGAAGATGAGATCAGAGAATCGTGACCAGTTGACAGGTAATAGGGTGACAGTGACAGGACAAGTTTTCATACTCCAGTCTCTGATCACAAACAAGTGTGTGGTTATTCATGTGGTGTTTAATAACTGTTGTAGCGAACTGAGAACTGCCATTTTATTGGTGAAAATTGTTGAAAAATGACAGACCTGACGAGGGAGCGTGGAGGACAGAGTAGGGAGAGTTATGAATTTAAAGCACATAATCAGCACCTCCAAGTCTGAGGCTATGGTGCTCCACCGGAAAAAAAGTGGTTTGCCATCTCCAGGTTGGAGGAAAGTCCCTACCCCAGGTGGAGGAGTTCAAGTATCTTGGGGTTTTGTTCACAAGTAAAGGAAAAATGGAACGTAACAGGCAGATTGGCGCAGCAGTAGCAGTAATATGATTGATGTAGCGGTCAATTTTGGTAAAGAAGGAGCTTAGCCGAAAGGCAAAGGTCTCGATATACTGGTCAATCTACGTTCCTACTCTCACCTATGTTAATGAGCTTTGGGTTATGACCAAAAGGACAAGATTTTGGATACAAGCATCGAAATTAGGTTTCCTTCCCTTATAGATAGGGTGAGGAGCTCTGTTATCCGGGAGGAGCTTGGAGAAGAGCCGCTGCTCTTCCACATCGAGAGAAGTAAGCTAAGGTTGGGTATCTGTTTCGGATGCCTCCTGGATGCCTACCTAGGGAGGTGTTTCAGGCAGGTTCCACCGGGAGGAGGCCTCGGGGAAGATACAGGACACGCTGGAGGAACTATGTCTCTCGGCTAGCCTGGGAAAGCCTCGGGATCCCCCTAGAGGAGGAGGTGGAGAAAGTGTCTGGGGAGACGGAAGTCTGGGGTTCGTTCCTGAGACTGCAGCCCCCGCAACCTGACCCAAAAGCAGTTGAACATTAATGGATAAAAAACTTATTTAAAAAGCCAAAAATATTGGGAAACTAGACTATTCTCAGCAGCAGTTCTCAGTAACTGATTTGGTACAATCTTTAATCCACAGACCGGTCTAGATGTCCTATTCAGTTTCCCTTCTAAATTTGGCGAGTGTTTTTTTAGATGTCAATTTTTTTTGTTTTGTAAAATGCACCTGGAGTTTACCAATGCCACCCAGTTGGTTCAAGCAGTGCGTACATTCATATTTCCTACATACCGTTATCACAGCTTCATTAAGCTTTGAATGATTCCAAGGCTGTGTAAATATTTGTGTCTTTTAGATAAGCATGCAAACATATGTAAACAGTGGCTGCAGTTCCAGTTTGTTAGTTTATTGCAGACATACCGTCTTTTATTCTCCACCTGCGGCAGATGATGACGACACAGACGATCATGGAGATGACGATTGTGAGAACCAGAGGAATGATGATCATGATGACTATGTTCAGATCATTCTCCTCATTGTCTGTGTCTGCCTCTGCCTCTGTCTGTTTGGTTTCCTCAGTATTAAATGACTCTGACTCACTGTTTTGTATGGATCCTAAATCCGAGGTAGCTGTGGTTGCACAAGATTTAAGTAAAAGGTGATTTCCAGAACCAAAAAAAAATCTTATCTCAGCTTGAGGTCATGCATTTGAGAAAAACAATATACGTACTCTGACTCATTCCATATCCAGATCCTGCCACATCCCCGTTATTCTCTTTAAAGAAAAAAAATCCTTGTCAAACTAAAAACAAGCATTTATAGTTTATATTTCTGTATATGATGTATATGGGTTACACAATAATAATTTACTTAATTTTTTTGGTCACACTTTACAATACGGTTTTATTTGTTAATGTATTTTCTAACATGACCTAATTATGAACAATACTTGTACAGCATTTTTTAATGATAATTCAACATTCACCATTAATAACATCCAAATTCATGCTTATCAAACATACACACACACACACACACACACACACACACACACACACACACACACACACACACACACACACAAACATTTATATATTAACATTTTATATAAGTGACTTTAATACAGTGATCATAATTATAATTATTAATTATTATTACTATTATTATTATTTAGATACAACTGATAAGATAGAATAATGCAGTAAAATATTTAAAATACCTAATAATACAACTATAATAATTAACAAAACTTTATGATAGATTTTTATTGTATATTCTACAGAACAGAAATTTATAAGTGCATTATTCGGTGTCAGAAATAATTATTAAATGCTATTTTCAAAAAATTTGATGAATGATAATAATAATTGTGCTTATTCATAGTTTTAGTTTTAATATTTGATATAAAACATAATTAAGTTTTTCTGAATTATTTTAATAATTAAAAAGTTCAAAAGAATATCCTTTACATTTAACGTATATCCTTTACATTTATGTGTGTGTGTGTGTCAATTTCTTACCTTTATCTTGAACTTCTGCTTTAGTAGTTACCACTACAACTGTTAATTGCACAAACAGATCAGATTTATTTGTAAGGGAACGTAAATGCTTACATAATGTTAATGTTAACTAAAAAAACATTACAGACAACTATGGAAGACATTTTGTTTTATTCAATTTGATTTTAGTTGTATGGCAGCAAACACAAAGCAACTTCAACTACAAAAATGGATACTCACGTTCTTCTTCAGTAATCTCAGGACTTTCTTCGCTTTGAACTGCAAAGACATGCAGCTAAAATTAGTTGACATATTTCAGTATTGACTGTAAAGAACCTTCATTTGAAATAGTGGGGATTAGTTGAGACCCGTTACAGTACAAAAGACAGACTTTATCTAAGAATCAGCCTCATGTATCAGAGAGAAATCAGATTTCTTGCCTCAAGAGTATTTGTTTTTTTTTACAAGTTGTCTTTCATTTAGTTTATATGCACTTCAGTCGATGAACAACACATCAAATAACTATACCACATTTGTTTTCATTTTATAATTGTAAATACTTATGTGTGTGTGTGTGTGTCTGTCAATGAGAGACATTCATATATAATAAAGGTAATTGACCTAAAAAGTACAAATTTACTAAAAGTTATGACTGCAAACATTTGAATGTTCTAGTGCCTTTTGTAGAATATTATCATATGTTTCTTAATATATGTGTAATGTGGTTTAAACAGAATTAAATACGGATCATATTAATTTCAATTGTACTTTAAGGTTTTAAATAACTTTTGTAAAAATGAAACGCTAATAATGTTCATGACCTACTTATTTTGTATAGTATCAATATTTAATAACAATTAATAATGTTGATTTTGACATTTTTTTGTAATTTAAATTAGTAAAAACTTATTATAATAACATAGTTTAAAGGATAATGGTAAAGTTTAAAGATTGAAAAAAGTATTTTGGGGGATGAAGTCAGAATTATTAGCCCCCTTTGAGTCCCCCCCCCCCCCCATTATGTTTAACAGAGCAAGAAAATTTTCACAGTATGTCTGATAATATTATTTCTTTTGAAGAAAGTCTTATTTGTTTTATTTTGGCAAGAATAAAAGCAGTTTTTAATTTTTTATAACCATTTTAAGGTCAAAACTATAAGCCTCTTTAAGCTATATATTTTTTCGATAGTCTACAGAACAAACTATCTTTTTACGATAACTTGCCTAATTACCATAACCTGCCTAGTTAACCTAGTTAAGGCTTTAAATATCACCTCAAGCTATAAAGTGTCTTGAAAAATATCTAGTAAAATATTATTTACTGTCATCGTGGCAAAGATAAAATAAATCATATATAAAAAAAAATTAGCTATTAAAACTATTATGTTTAGAAATGTGTTGAAAAAATTGTCTCTCTGTTAAAAGAAATTGGGGGAAAATAAATGTGAGCTAATAATTCAGGGGGGCTAATAATTCTGACTTCAACTGTATGATATGTACTTAAGGATTATAACGCAATAAGGTTAATCAATGCTGTATTAATGACACAAAAATAAGGCTTATTAAACACAGAACCTCGCAGTACAGTGTAACTCATCCCAACTTAAATAACCTAATAATCAGTTACAGAGACCATGAAGCAAGAGAAAGATACATTTGTCCTGAATCATTATGATCTTTCTTCCTCAACTTCCTCAACAAAGACTAGCTGTATTATGTTTTGCATAAAACCAGTAGCAACAAATGAGAAGTTATTATGTACTGTGATCCCCTTGTCTTCAGCTTTATCATTGTCCACTGTGGTTAAAAGATACAACAGGTCATTTGAATGTGTACATTGATTGTTATGTTGCCTTGGGGCCAAAAACAGTGTAAAATGATTTCTGAAGAACCTGCTTAAAAGAGCTGACAGGAAAGAGGATAGTCATTTTAAATGAATGGAAAAAATATGGAAAAAGAGAAAGACATCGACAGGATTCTACTAATGTGAGCACCTACCAAGTCCAGTCCAGCAGGCTGTCAATCCCAAAAGCAGGAACAGTATAAGATTCATTTCCCAGAGTCCTCGTGGAAGCAGTGGCCCACAGTTTGGTTAGACAGAGACACCGACTCATTTCATTTTGACTGGTGACAAACACGCCTGCATGACATCCTGCTTCCTCTTTCAGACCTGATTCACCTAACCAGGAAAAAAAAACACCACCCTTTCGCTCGCTCTCTTTTTCTCTCCCTCGGATGTGATGCAATCAAGCAGTGAGCTTGTTACCACAAGCCAAGCTGTTCCTCAGTTAGCTGTGAAAACACATTCCTGCATATATGGTATGTGACCTGACCAAAAACCAGAAAAAAAAGAGAGAGAAGCACAAAAAGAGCTGAGTAAACAGAGGCAGTTTTAAACTCTTTAAACAGGCTGAAGTAGGAAGAGTTTACATTGAGTCTGCACTACAGCTGTCTTTGGCACAAACAACGGTGATTTCCAAGCAGCTAAAAATAGAAATTTGAAAGTGAGAATTGAAAGACAAAATAATGACATAGATTACAGGAAGAATTCTACTATATGTCTAAATGACTCAGTTTCACTTTCGAAGTAATGTGAATTACATTACTGACATTTTACATTAAGCTTTTATTACATTTAAGCTGCCACAACATTTTCCTCCTGTGGAAATCAATTTTAAAGTTTTTTTTTTTTCAATATATTGAAGCATTAGAGGTATAAATATAGCTTTTTTTGTGATTACATATATGCTGTGCAAACAATAACCTAGCATATAAAATTTTTTAAATATTTTTAACATAAATGACTCAGTTTATTACTACATTTTCCATATAATTGGTCATATATAGCTAAACTACAGTTTAGTTTGTTAAATGATAGTAAATAACAAAATCACGTAAATACAGTTCAAAACTATTATAAAAATTTCAAAGGTATATTATATAAAAAGGTTAACTTATTGATGTGTGAATGAGTCCATGTTCAGTTTACAATGTTAGCTGGTTCTTGAGACATAATCATGTCATGACAACGCAGTCATTACACGAAAAAAAAAAAAGAATATTAAATACCTAAATTATCTAAATATCTAAATAGTAATATTTTCGGTAATATAAGAAAAGCCTTGGGAGAGTAAAAAAGAAATTAAAACATTCCCTTCAAAACAACCTCGATCACGCGCATGCGCAGTTCTATCAGCATCTATACCGCACATGCGCAGTGAGATTGTCTTTTTAGCTCTCGCGCCAAACTCAAGCAGTCAAACATGGTGAGAACATTTTATTATTGTTATTGTATTTCAAAATATATGATTTCGATTACTTTCAAGAGAATGTTTCTTGTTTTTTGTGCTGCTCGAAGGTTTACATTAATGTTTTAAAATAACATTCTAGGCTGTGTTAAGCTCTGTATACGACACTCCTTTGCCATTGACTTGTAAACAACTTGTAGAAAACGTGTTTACCACAACCAGAACAGGGGCCTGTTTCAGTAAGGAGGTTCAAACAACTCGGAGTTTAAACTTGAACTCTGAGTTGATTTACCGAGAGATTAAAAACTCAGAGTTTTCGGTTTCAGAATAGCTGATCTGAGTTGAGTCAATCAACTTTGAGTAGACCAACTCAGAGTTAAGCGCGCACACCGTGACTATAAAAAGGCATTATCAATGGAGCGCAGATATTACGAGTGACCATGGCAACATCTTAAAAAAAGAGATCACAATTTCTTTCTCCGGCTGAATTTGATCTGCTAATGCAAAGTTATGGCAAATATGAGTGTATATATTTAAAAAGAAGCAATTATCAGTGAAACAGAGACAGCATGAGAAAACAGCTGCTCAAGTTAATGCATAATTTTTTATTTAAAGTATTTAAATATTTAAGTATAATAAAATAAGTAATGTAATGTGTGACGTTTATAAAATGTTTCTAAACTTTTATACACGTTTATCAGTTTTAATAGATTTAACAGTGCACTTGTGTGTCTGCCTTTTTATTGATTAAGTGATAGAGTTTGATATAACATTAAGAAGGTAAGCAGTGCTAAAAATACTTTTTAGAAAAAATAATAATCACGTTAATCTAGTAACAGTACATGTCAAAGGTTAAGCTAATTATTAATGATAAAACAGCGTTTTCATCCAACAAGTCAAAGAGAACAAAATCGTCACTTCCTGATTAACCAAATATCAACAGTAAAAACAGAATTTACTGTGGTAGAAAAAGCTGTGGCAATAATTTTTTATTTAATTAATGTGTTTTCATCAAAATATAGGCTATTACATAAATTTGTGCAAAACTGGAATAACGCCTAAAAATAAAGCAGCGTTTTTATCCAAACAGTCGAAGAGAACACAATCGTCACTTTCTGATTAACTTGCGCCAAATATCAACAGTAAAAACAGAATCACTGCGGTAGAAGAAGCTGCATCAATGATTTTTTATTTAATTAATGTACCTGAGCCTCAGAAGACAATTGACACACAATGAACACGTGGGGGCGTTTGAAGCCAGACGCGGAGATCTTGACACACTCCAGACGCTCGGAGGTAATTAATAATATACACTAATACTGAAACAGTAAATGCATTTTAGATTGACTAAAACACCATTTAAGATGTTCTACAGTGTGCTCAGTCTGCTGGTTTGTTTTTTCACACACATTTTTATCATCATCTCTAACAAACCATTTTTTAATGTACATACTGTAATTTAAGTGCACTTCGTAGTTTATGTGCATCTATCAAATAAAAGTTTAACCCACTCAGTTATGCACTTGTTATATTATGCGTATTTTCAAAAGTTATGTGAATCATGACGTTTCCATCAATCGTTTTTATGCACATCTCCAAAATGAGCTCTAAAATAGGTGTGTGGAAATGTAAGACTAATGCGAGAAATGCCGCTTCATCTTTAAAAAAGGGGAGGAGACCGATAGAAACTCAGAGTTTAGAGAATAAAACCTGCTCCGGACCAGGTTAGATTCACAGAGTAAGTTACCACGGTAACTGACTCTGAGTTAAAGTTAACTCTCTTTTAGAAACAGGCTTGACTTACCCTGCTTTCTCGAGTTTAACAAACCTGCCATTTTGAAACGGAAAACCCAGAGTTTGTCTCATTTCAGGGTTAAACTACTCTGAGTTTTCACTTAACCTGCTTTCTGAAACAGGCCCCAGTTGTTTGCTAATAAGTGACGACGAAAGTTATCGTGCATTGAAGTTCACGGCATTATTTTCACTTTATACACTTTATACGTAGATAGTTAATTGGTCATTACAAATAAAAGGCCAAATAATAAGGTGAAAACTGAGATCACTAAATAATTAGATTTGTTTTTAAATAATGACATGACATTGACCTTATCACTACCCCCTATAAAAACTTGGCTTTATCATGTTATGCATTGAACGTCATTTATAACGTTTAAATATGTCATTGAAAAGACACTTTTGTATTCTAACAGCAGGATTAGATTGATTAAAAAAAACATTTTTCTTAACCTTTTGTAATCTTAATTTCATTTTTCTAACTCGTTTATGCAATACAGTAAACATTTTTAATCTTGAAACTCTTAATATATTTAAATTTACTTCTTTTAAGTAAGCCATCAGTAGAGCTAGACATGTTTGAGCTAAATTTTGTAAAAAATAAATAAATAAATAAATCTGCAGATTTATGCAGAAAGATTTTTGGGGAGTATCATAACTAAAAACTTAATAAATTAAAGAAAAAAAACTTTTTAACTTTAATGTTTACAATGCAAATCCAGTTAGATCAACTTGTTTAGTAAACAAAGCAAGTATTATATAATATATCTACGAAAAGACAGAAAATATTATAAACTATTGTAAATAAATCATATGAGCTTTTTTATATTAGTTAATAATAGTGAAATAATTTAAAAATTGAATAAATATAAATTTATGCACATTTACAATAATAAATAGACTCAATGATGGGCTAAAAATCTGCAGATTTCTGCACGCACAGATTCAGTTTTAGTGTCTAGTGAGTTTTTTTGTTGTTCTGAAACATGTAGCTTAATGTTATGGCGCAAAAAAAAGCTTTTTTTTACGACAAATATTTTCTTAACTGATATTTTGAAACAAGCAGTGTAAACATCAGTTTGCATAAAGGAGTCCAAACTTTCCATCTTTACTTCCACTCATTTTAGAAACGAGTTTTACATTTTCAAAATTTTGCGGTTAAAATAAAGTAAAAACATCACCGCTATTCGGTAATGACTGTTTAACCAGTTATTTATAATTGAAAGATATAACTGCATTGATTGTCTCATTTATAATCCACAGTCTAAAAAGAAAGGACTTAGCTTGGAAGAAAAAAGAAGTCGCATGATGGAAATATTTTTTGAAACTGTAAGTATACGTGGTTTTACATTCTCGTTTTATATAACCCATCAATAAAGGTTATAGATATGTGAATGAGTCCTCTTAGTAGTTTACATGAACACAAATCTTGAGAGATGAGATTAATTAAGATTTTTATTCACCTCTTCAGAAAGATGTGTTTCAGCTGAAGGACATAGAGAAAATTGCCCCAAAATCCAAAGGAATCAGTAAGTTTTATCAACCTTTTGTGCTTTATGTTGCAGATCCTAAGTCTATGTCACAGACAGAGGGAGCTCTAAGTCTTTTAACTCATTTTGGATAGAACGTATGTAATGGTAATCATTAAAAACGGACCCTTGCCTGTTTTATTTGGATGAAAGCAAATCATTTCCAGATGAATGGCCACTTAACCTATAATTTGTTAAACGTTTTGCCCTAGAACCTCAGAAGTATCTAGTAATAATGCTTTTATTGTTGAGGACATTATAGCAATAATAAAGAAATGGCATACTGTTTAAAAAAGATAAAGGCTATGTTTTTCGGAACATAAACAAATGCTCCTTTATGATCAACATCCAGGATAAAAAATTTTTAAGAAGTACATTGGCAAGGTGACAAGCCTGTTTTTTAATAGATGTCAATATAGGAGAGGCTTCGGTGTGCAGAATTAACTGCTTTTGTTTATACACTGCATTATGTCTGTCTTCTGATCTTCAGTATATTTGCTTTAAATACATAATATTAATTTCAGGATTTGTTTAATTTGAAGTTTACATCAACAACAAAAAATGTTTTACCAGAGAATTAAATTCTAAAAATAATAAGTTGTGACCTGGCACATTCATTTCTCTACTGGGTTTTACATTGCTATTAAGCTTCCTTAAATATCTGATCTGCTTGTCTGTGGATTTTAACTACACCAGGATGTTTTGATTACATCTGCATTAATGTATTTTTTTAAATTACCATATTTTTTTATTCCATATTAAGTAATTTTTCACCCTCTCTACCCCCCATCAAAAATTTAATTTGTAACAAATAAGAAATGATCCAGTGTTTTTGTATTACAACACAGTCATACTGTACGTTTTCTGGTGCAAACAGAACTGATTTCAAATGTTAGTCATGTTACAAATCATCAGATTGGTGACTGTTCGATTTTGCAATAATGATGTATGAAATACAACAGAAAACCAGATGCATGCTTTTGTTAAGACATAAAAGTGCATGTACAAAGTTCGTAAATCTTAATTTCTAACCTTGGTGTGGCAATAAAACAGCATAGGCTTAACAGAACTGGAGGATTTTCGTTAACACGTTAACATTGGGACCAATTCTCACTATTAACTATTAGTGGCTTATTACCTGCCTAATAAAAGTTATTTTTAAATTTTATTTCAATAGTTAAAAAGTAAATATTATGCATCATTTCATTTCTACATCCCTAATCCTACCCAATACCAAGTACCAGACAAAATCTGCAGACATTTTTTGCTATTTCTGCTGAGAATTTTGTAAAAAAAATCTGTGGATTTATGCAGAATGATTTTAGGAGTATCGTAACTAAAAGCTTAATTTATTAAATAAAAATTATACATTTTTAACTTTATTTAATGTTTATAATGCAAATGCAATTAGATTCACTTATTTGGTAACAAGGCAAGTCTCATATGATAACATATCTTCTACAAGACAGAAAATATTACTTTATAAACTGTATTGTAAATAAATTAAATGAACACTTTAATGTCACTATTATTATATCACAATAATATCAGTGAAATGAATTTAAAAACTGAATAGATATAAATTTACACAATTAAATAAGTAGACTCAATGATGGGCAAAAAATCTGAGGAAATGTGGGCCTACCAATAGCTAAAGCCAACTACTACCACTAACTATTAATAAGCAGCAAATTAGAAGTTTATTGAGCTAAAAGTCATAATAAAGTGAATAAATTCACAAGAATTGTACCTTAAAATAAAGTGTGAATTTTCTCCTATGTTAAGCTTTTAAGTGTTTGATGATTTCTTTTATTTCAGCTCCCATGTCAGTGAAAGAGGTATTGCAGAGTCTGGTGGATGATAACATGGTGGACACTGAGAGGGTGGGCACCTCCAACTATTACTGGGCGTTTCCTAGTAAAGCACTGCATGCCCGAAAACGCAGGTTAGAGGAACTGGAGAAACAAGTGAGGACATCTCTCTTTCTTATATCTCTTATTAATCAGCTTGCTTATTGGTATGCATGCTGTAATAAAAAAATCAGTTTAAATGACATTAAATTGTATAAACCAATTGCTTAGTAGAAAGATAACAATGTTTCTGTTAATATATTGTTGTCTGTATATTTTAGAACTTAAAACTAGTTCATGAAGCAGTCCCCCAGTAGGGCTTAGAGATTACTCAAAGGCAATTTTTATGCAAATTTTGTTAGCAAAGCTGGTTCTAGTAAGCCTCCAAGCATGTGTTTTCAGATGGATCATCATTTACTACACAGTCAAAAAAAAGAAAGATTTTGCTCCATGTTCAATCTACTTATGTAAAATAAGCTTAAACAACAGAATTCTTGAGATTTTTTTGGGGACAACTTTTCAGTTAAATTTAACTATTATATTTGTGTTGGAACAACCTGAATTAATTTTGTGAAACCAGCATTTTCACAGTGCACATAGTACACTAAAATTGAAATCTGTTTAATTGAGAGGTAATGACATATATTTAATCAGTCTGTGACAATGACAACTGTTTGCATTACTTCTCAATGAGCTACAGTTTTATGTAATAAATACTGCATGTAAAATTAGCACATATAATAGCATGCATTTATTCCAAACTTACTTGATAACTCCAGTTAAGGTTTTAAAATAAATCCTTATCTGAGATGATTCTGTAGTAATTTAGAGATATATCCAGCTGCAGATCCACGCACGTTTTAGGACACACAATTCCCACCACACAATCTAGCCAGGGGCAGACCATACATGGCTAATATATGTGGTCAATGACAGATCAGTCGCATCTTGTTTTTCCTGTTTAACTGCAGCTAACTCTTTAGGAGCATTATCACCTACTGTAGCCAATGTCAATTTAACAATCAGCTATCCCAAGAATGTCGACATGATTAATATATACAATATTTATTAACAATACTAAAAAAGGTACATATACATAATTAGGTTTTTATTGATATTCATTTTGATCAATATAATGAATCGAAACATTTTTGACTGTATAGTGAGATGTTTAGTTTGTTTGTTCTACCTATTGTGTTTTATTAACGTCTACACCTATCACAACCTTAAACCGACCCCTTGCAGTAATGAAAAAACAACAGTTATTTTTGTACATCACAAAAATACACTGTATTTATGTGCACATTCTCAGTAACCGCAGTTGTAACACTAATCCATAATCAACTTACTTATGAAAGTCCTTCCGATTTGGAATGATGTTGTGAGGGTTTGCATGTCTGCATCTGGATATTATTAGACAATATTGGTTGACATTTTCTGTCTGTCTGTCTGTCTATCTGTCTATATATATATATATATATATATATATATATATATATATATATATATCTATGTATGTGTATATATATATATAAAGGATTAAAACTAAAGGATTAGTTTACTTAAGAACAAACATTTACAAATATTTTACTCAAACTATCATTTAAGATCTCATTTTTTTCTTTCTTCAGACGAGAAAAAGTTGCTGTTTTTGAGGAAAACATTTTTAAATTAATTTTATCCATGTAGTGGAGTTCAGTGAAGTTCTCCAGTTTGAACTTAAAAACATCAAAATACATGACAATAAGTTAATTATTAATTTAAGTTCTAAAATAAAACTAGAAAGTTACATCTGTGTGAAAAGGTGATATCAAATCTTTCCCATCAAGCATTTTCAGTTTAACATATGTTTAACAGACGTCCAGACTTAGATGGCCTTCCAAAACCAAACTTAATTTGGGCTGTCATTGAAAATCTAATAGATGTTCAATTCATGCTTATTTCTATAGCGCTTTTATAATGTAGGTTGTGTTAAAACAGCTTAACATATAAGTTCTAGTAAATTTAAACTGTGTCAGTCCAGTTTTCAGAGTTGAAGTTCAGTTTAGTTTAGTTCAGTTCATTGTGGTTTGACTATACTGAATGACTGCACATGTCAAGTCTGCTTAAACTCTTTGTTTAGTAACTAGTCTATTTATGCACTATAATCAGACGTCTAAAAGATTTTTACTAACAGACCAAATTTTGCCATGTGCTGGAAAAACAATATCCTGGGACACTACACAGGAGTGGGGATAAATTTCTTTCGTAGTTTTGCAGTAATATTTTGAGCCATGAAAGAAACTCTACTGTTGACTTTTATCTCCGCAGAAACAAACAGTTGCAAAAACAAGGATGGAGATTCTTCAGAAATAAAGCGAGGAAAATTAAAACAATTTAATTGGCTGGTGGAATAATGTAAATGAAGTTAGAGATTTTCATTTATATGGCTATAATGCAGCATTTAACTGCACCGTTTTCAATGGCAATATATGTTATTGTTAACACATTAGAGCAATTTAGAAACATGGATGAGTGCCAAAATAAAAATATTTGATAAAAAAAAAATAAGGAAGTATAGGTAATTGTTCTAAAAGAGTTATTGATATCCCTACCTGCTCTACCAAATGGTTGACTATATTTTGACTGTTTTAATTAAAGAACGACTGTTTTAAATGATGGTTTACACACACAGCATTTTTGGTTTACAAAAAAATCAAACAAACATAATCCTGTTACACTACTACACTTGATTTTGGTTTTATTGTAAAAAAACAAACAAACAAAAAAACAAGAAAGCATGTTATATGAGAAATTGAGATATTTTATGGCATACTTCAAAAAATAAAGATGATTTAGTATTTAAAAATGTTTTGTTTTGAATAGTTTTTAAAAAATAAATTGGCCTTACTCTTCATATTTTTATATTTTGCATACTTCATAGTATATGTATTAAATACTTTAAACTGACATATTTACCATTTGGTAGATGCTGATATTTTAGAAAGTTTGGGATGTGTTGAAAAAAAATGCACTGTGTGTGTCAACCAGCTACATTAGCGATTAAGATGCAATCCAATTATTATTATTTTCTTTTTGGGGTAGGGTAGTTAAAAAGTTGAATAAAGTTTATTTAAATAATTTAGACTGAAGGTTTAGATATCTTTTTAGTTTGATTTTAGCACTTGAGTATAGAATTTTGTCCTTATAGATTTGTTGTGCTTAAACAAACTTGCAAACAATTCTGAGTTTCTTTCTTCTGTAGAACAGATGGAAAGTATTTTGAAGATAGTTGAAAATGGATAACCATTGATACCCATAGTGGGAAAAACAAATACTATGGATGTCGATTTCCAGCATTCTTTAAAATATCTTCTTTTGTGTTCAACAGAAGACAGGAAGTCAAACTGGTTTGAAGAAAGTAAAGGTTAAATAAATGATGACAGAATTTTCAGTTTTGGCTGAACTGTCCCTTTAAATGGTCAAATACACACCTAAAGGTACTGATAAGCACAACAATACTGATTGAGTCATAGAAACCATACGGTGAAGCAGAGGTCACTGTGAGTGGGCTTACTGTATAGAATATCAATGCATGGTCAATACTCGTGTATATAAATAGTGCACAGGGTTATACACACAAAGACCAAACACCATCAGAGTTAAACACTACAGTAAATTAAAACAGAAATCATTTATAACTACATGATAAAAATTACATTGCTGATTCAGCATAAATTGCACTATAAAATAAGTAAATTACCATAAAAATACTTTCTAAACTTTCACAAATAATGTTAAATGACAATATAATGTTAAATATATATTTCATTGATAAATCTACCATTTACTGGTGATTTGTTTCTATGAAAAAAAAAGCTTCGTAATACCATCGATCAAACAGATATTTGTTTAAAAAATAACGTGTACATTTTATTGCAGAAGTGTAATGTTTTTTTGTTTTGTTTGTGTAGCTTGAGGATGGCAGTCAGCGTAAAAAAGCCCTTCAGCAAGCAGTTGACAAAGCCAAAGTGGGACGTGAAGTCAATGTACATGTTCATCTGTCTTTCTCTCTGAGCTACATGATTATACATCTCTTATGTTTGTGGGCCTTGTGTGACTCTTGATTTTGTTGCATGTTTAGGAGGAGAGAGAGGATCTCTTAAAGGAGCTCACAGCATTGAAAGGTCAGCGAGATCAGATGAAGGTCGAAATAGAGAAGTACCAAGAATGTGATCCAGCGGTGGTGGAGGAAATTCGTGAGTAAACTTTTCATTTGAATGTCATGGATGAATGACACTCTAAGAAATAATTTGTGTTTTTATCTGAAAACACACACACACACACACACACACACACACACACACACACACACACACACCACACACACACACACACACATTTATATATATATATATATATATATATATATATATATATATATATATATATTTTGCATTTTAACTGATTTGAATTTAAAATAAAAATGATACGTACACTTTAAAAAATCTTACGTGCTATTTACAAAAAAAATAGTGGTAACACTATTGCACGTATTATTTTTAAGTAAATTATTAACTTGATTTTTTTAAGCAAAAACCACTTGAATGAATCATGTGAAAATTACAAAAAATTTTGAGTGATAGATGCAGATTTTAATATTATTAGCGGAATGTGCTTTTATAATTTAAGCAAATCCACCACCATTTACTCATATCTATTTTTTAACAAAAACCACTTGAATAAATCATGTGAAAATTACTATTTTTTTTTGAGTAATAGATGTTGAATTTAATATTATCAGCGGAATCCGCTTTTATAATATATGCAAATAAATCACCATTTACTCAAATTTACTAATGAAATTGACTCATTCATAAAATGTAAAATATATAAAGTACAATGAAATACATACACAATACATTTTTGCCAAATATCATTTTATTACACGTTCCACCGATTAAAAAAAATGGTACAATATGTTAAACAAATCTATATAAAGTTTACAGCAATGTTAATCTCTGATAAAAATTCCTTTATCCATGCTATAGAAAAAAAAAGATCTGTCAACTTTCTTTTGTAGGAATATTCACATTTCAGACAAAATCTGATAGAAATGTGTGTATTGCATAACATATAAAACCAGTATAAAAGCTGCATCTCAAATATTAGCAACACAATCAATCAATCAATCAGTGACATTTGCCCAAAAGGTTGTAGCAGTGAATTTGTGTCAGAAATATAAGTTTCTTTGTAAGTGATTTTAATTTGGGGAATATTTGTAAAAATCCAGTTCAACAATTCTAGATTTTCTAAGCTAGCCATGAGTCATGACTTACTCATCCTCCAAGACAATGCAGAAGTCCTCATGGTTGGTCATTCCTCTGGCAGACAGCAATTCTCTGTGCAATCCCACACTGTAAAATAAACATTAAGTTTATTATTATGAAATTACGCAGTTGTACATTTCAAATGTTTAAGGTTTAATAAAACACATTAAGGAAATATATTAAGGAAACAAACCATTTCTTTGTATCTCTGTGAACAGTAATTCTTCAAAATGTTTGAGTAGACCTTGCTGACTGACACAAGTGCACAAATATTTTGACTTATAATGGACAGGGTCTTTTTAAAATGTATACTAGTGTACAAAGATATAAATTTGTGTGCATTCAACAATGTAGTGCTTGAGCTATATTTTTGTTTTTGTAAACATGCAAAAATATAAAATGCAGTTTTCTGAAGACCATTAATATCTAAAACTGTTTGAGACACTTACATTGCACTCATGGATGAGCTCTTCCTCTTATTCATAGAGATAGACCAGCAACAGAGGACGACATCTCTCATCTTCTCCTTGATTTAATGTGAGGTCTGATGCAAAAAAAGTGTAGAAGTTAGTAATATTGCCTAATAATAATAATAATAATAATAATAATACACAAATAACATTATTAAAAATACCTGCTGTTTGGCACCCATTCTCTTTATCAAAATCTGCCCGAATAAATCGCTCCTCTTCAGTGGGAAAATACTGTGAACATTTTCTTCATTAATCTGAAAAATTAAGCAAACACATGTTAGTATTTATATACAGTATTATATAGAAACACAGTTCATTACATTACATTATCAATGCTGTAAAAGGAAAACCCATGAATAGCTATAGCTAACTTAGCTTAGCTTAGACTTACCACTTAACAAGCTCAATGTTGTTCGTCCACCCTGCTTAACTGTTGCCTGATCACTGCTGTTAAATATTAAAATGAAAATAATTTGTTGAATTTCATTATATAATTCAGAATGAACATTAAAGCAAATCAATTTCAATTAGGAATGGGTGGTTAAAAATACCCGTGTATCCCTTTACACATCATATGGCAAAAACTAAGCTCCTGAACAAGCTTGAACAGCATTTGTCTTTCTTGAAAGAGCTTAGGCTATTTAAGACAAAAAAAATTATAAACTGTTAATGCTTACCTCTTAACATGCTCGCTGTAAATCTGCTCCTTCAAAATGTCGTCTGATCACTGCCGTTGTTGAGATTCAAATGCAAACATCTCAATTAAATCCACAAAATTTAGTAAATTTTCTTAAAATAAAGGTGAAGCCATCTTTCCTCAATTTTATTAGCTTAATTGGTTTCTCAAAGTAAGCCTAATAATTGCACTGGTTTGCTTAAAAAAATAAGTGAAATTTAAATCTTAGTTATATTAGCAACATCCTCTCAATCTTTTATAATAAATCCAGAATATCGATTTTTTTTTTTAAAGAAAATATGTACATTATTTTTAATGACCACATCAATTTTTTTTATGAAAATTACAAGCCTCAAGATTCTTTTTTTACAGTATAGAAAAGTCAATTTACTTGGCCTTAAGTGGATCCAAACCTGTTTTTGTTTTCCTCTTAAACACAAAAGAAGATGCTTGGAAGAATGTTGGATAGCTGTAACCATTTACACCTGTAGTAGGTAAATTGAAGTCCAGGCTAGTCTAGGTTTTCAACATTTTTCAAAATATTTTTTTTTATGTTTATCTGAAAAATCAAATTGGAACAAGTAATTATTAGCTGAAAAAAAAAACTACATAGTAAACCGAAATGGGTTTTCCTCTGGCCGATAATGGTATTTAGAAATCAGGGCAGCCGGTGGAAGATAGATTTTGCCCCTTTTCCCCCTTTATCTAATAACATGTTAAAGTAATTAGATGTGATGCCGAAAATTGCTTAATAAATTTGCTAAACTAAAATTGCTTACTAAAATCAAACATTTATTGAATAATTAAAAACATTTTCAATTATTTCATTATAATGCAAAGCTTTATAGATTTTGCCATTTAACAAATTTATCACAAGTAGAAGTTGCTAAGTTAAAACCAACTATTTCACTAACAAATAAATAAAATGAAAAATTAAATCATGATGTGTTGTGTGGAACCCATTTGGTAATGAAATAATTTTAATATGGTTTGTTATACAAAGTTAATAAATTATAATAAGCTATAAAACTGTAATAATAAAGAAACCAATGCTAAAATTGCACAGTATTTGTAACTTGTGTCCGAATGTTTTTATGACTATAAAACTTATTTTAATAAGATAAGCTTCTCTTTTTTTTTTATAGAAAATATTTTAAAAGGAATGTTTAAAAATGTGTCTCCTGCAGGAATTTGAGATTATTTATCACTGATCAAATTGAAAGATCTTATACGATGTTTGTCAGTGTTGTTATTTGTATATTTTTAGTCTAAGGCATGATTATTAAAAAGCTAGTTATGATTGTATATTATATATTGCACACTTAATACCAGTCCTGTGGATATGGCATTACAACATTAAGAAATTTACATGAAATATGGTAGAAAACCACCAAGAGAACTTTGGAAGACGACTTTAATGGAAACTTTACGAACGTTTACAAATAGCATTTGATTAGGATTGAGTTTTTCAACAGATGATTAACATGTCATATTAATTATGCACATACTCTACATGTTTGGGCCATATTGACATGATAATGATTTGTCGGCCACACATCCATGATGCAAATCTCCATCCAACCTCATCCCAAAGTTGTTGACTGGAGGTCATTTGACTTTATTGAACTCACTGTCACTTTTATGAATCCAATATGAGATTATTGAAACCTTGTTGTGTTATTCTGTTGGTAGCATTGCTAGACGGAAACGCTGTGGTGATGTTTAGCAGCAATACTCAAGTAGGCTGTAGTATTTGAACAATACCCAGTTCGCATTAAGAAGGCCAAAGAGTGCCAAGTTTCACACCATTAAACCAACCGTGACCCTAATCATTGATCCTAGGCAGGATAGATCCTGTTTATTCCAATTTCTGGTTCTACCCTCCCAATTTCGGTGAGCCTGTGTGAATTGTTGCTTCAGTTTGCTTTTTTTGACTTGAGCCTTAGTACCAATTGAGCATCGTGTCAACGCCACAGCCTACCTGAGTATTGCTGCTGACCATGTCCATCCTTTTATGACCACAGTGTACCCATCTTCTGATGGCTACTTCCAGCAGGATAACGTGCTGTCATAAAGCGTGAATCATCTCAGACTGGACTTCATTTTTGGACATGACAATGAGTTCGCTGTAATCAAATGGACTCCACAGGATGTGGTGGAACGGGAGATTCACATCATGAATGTACAGCAGACAAATCTGCAGCAACTGTGTGATTGTATCATGTCATATGCACCATAATCCATATTTCCAGTACCTTGTTGAATCTATGCCATGAAGGATTAAGGCAGCTCTGAAGGCAAAGGGGGTCCAACCCGGCACTAGTAAGGGGTACCTAATACAGTGTGTGAGTGTATATTTTTGTGTGTTTATGTGCACATGTGTATGTGACATACGTATGCACACATACACACAAGTGCATTACATATTATATGTCTTGAAAATCCACTGCTTTTAGAAAAATGCATTTTCAAAATTTTTTGTCCAAAAGTGAGCATTTTTGATGAAATCTTCCTAAATTGAAGTGAGGATAATAGATGAATTTAGAATAAAAGGCTTGGTTGTTCTTTTAATTTGATATGTAATATGCTCAAATTCTAGCAGAACATTTTCTGAAGGCCATGAAATTTAGCTGAAAATCATCAAATGCTGGCGGTGGCTGGCAACTTTTTAAAAATAGACCTTTGTGCACCGAAAAAAAATTTCTGCAAAAAAATTAAATGATAATAACTATAAACAAATTCATTCATTCATTTTCTTGTTGGCTTAGTCCCTTTATTAA